TTTGTTGTTTTTAAAGCTAAACAGAAGCAAAAGCAGGTATGTATGTGCAGATATGGTGTTAACTGCTATATAATGTTTTTTTAATAACAAAATTCTTCTTCAATCTCTTTGTGTCAAAGTGATGTAAATATTTATAAAGTATTGTAAAGTATCTATACATGTCATGATTATCTGTTATATCTGTTATGTGTGTCTGTTGTATCCAGGTTGAACAGGTCCCTCCCTATGATGTGGTTCCATCCATGCGGCCGGTCGTGTTGGTGGGACCTTCACTTAAAGGATATGAGGCGAGTAGACTTATATTCTCTGTATTAACATAAATAAAAACAAACATCTTATTCTATCTGCACCTCTCTGCCATGGTTTGATCATGCTCTTCTTTCAGCTAAAGAAGAGCATGATCCACATGTGTCTTGGTATCGGCTTGCTCCCTTCAATCTAAAGAGAATCTCTCCGGCCTCCATTATTCCATTAACACTGATACTAAACACCGCAACCACATCCTTATGAAATTATAGCACTCAAAACATAAATTGTATCCCACCAATGCACGGCCTTTGTGTGGGCCTTCAGTGTATGTTCTTCCACACAGATATTAGTGGAGTGTATTAATGTGCTCTATGTACAGTATGTCTGTAGCACAGTGTCTCCTGTGCAGCGGCGAGGGCTGTGTGTGCCAAGCTGATTGTTTTTGTCTAACTCTGAAATATATATGACTGCTCTGGCAGTGTGCAGCGCTCTTCCTTTCTGTGTCAGACACCGTGTAATGTTGAAAGCTGAGCATTATTAATGCATTTCATTTGATTCATTTGGAGAACTTAATCTAGAAAGCTTGATATTCTCATGCAGAATGTGTGAAGGTTTTATATCCCAGAAATTAATCTATTATTTAATATAACTGCATTATCAATTGATTATATTGTAAGCTGTAATCATATACTGGGGTGCTTTTTCATAGAGCTTTTGGTTTAACTGCACTTAAGGGTTATGTTTGGCACATCTTTGTCTCCAACAAACAAAAGTAGTGAGAGTGTGCCCATCCTGAAAACGTACTATTGTACGTAGTGCCTGCTTATGCTTCAGCTTCAGCCATCTTCTACCAGAAAGAAAAAAAATACTATTGGTGGATAATATTGGTGCAGACTTGGTTCTACTCTGCTGATGTTGCGATGGCATAGTAGAAAACTAAAACACAATTTCATTTAATTAAAATGCAATGTAACAAACATTACTGACCTTTGTAAACTATTACCCAGTTTTTTTAATGCCTCACATTTCCGTGTTACAACTAAAAGCAATTCATCACAGTCTTTAACATATATATGGCTATATAAACATATTTGTCTCCTAGGTAACAGACATGATGCAGAAAGCCCTATTTGACTTCCTGAAGCACAGATTTGATGGCAGGTGGGTTTGTGTCTTACATGAGCTGTGTTTAGTAATTAAGTGAGGTAATGGTATTATGCAACAGGGATGGGATTAAATAAGGTTTTTTCTTTCGTCCCACTCCCTTTCTGACAGATCACAAAGAATAAGGAGACCTTTATCTCTAAAACCTAAACCTGACACAAGACATCTTTATATCTTTGTTGGTTTATTTGTTGACTTTGCACGTTTCTTGTTGTGTAGATAACTTTATAGCAGACTCATGGGCCAGAGCAACACAGACACAGACAAAAAAACAAACAAGAGACAGTTTATAAGGTCATGCATTCATTCATTAAGAATAATTAAATTAACAATAATTATCATTCAAACCTTACATATTGTACTTTTAAACTGGGTTGGGTCAAAGGTTTTGGGAATCATTTCACAAGCTTCTCATAATAGCAGGAATTCTGGCCCATTGCTTCTGACATCGCTGTTCTTTCCTTACTCCGTTGGCTGATAATAATTGGTTGAAATAGGGGAGTAATGGATTGAACAGTTCTCATCTTTTGAAATAATTGTTTTAATAATGGCGGTCCTATGTCCAGGGTCACGATTACGCGAGTGACTGCTGATCTGTCACTGGCCAAACGCTCAGTGCTCAACAAGAAGGCCATAATGGAAAGATCCAACGCACGCTCGACTATGGGTGAGAGACAGGGATTGTTGGCTCTGTTCAGTGGCTAAATAAAGATGAATGGACGCCAAGAATAGAAACTGTTTAATGTATTTGTCTTTTGTTTCTCACAGCAGAGGTTCAGAGTGAAATAGAGAGGATTTTTGAGCTGTCCAAGTCCCTTCAGCTCGTCGTCCTCGATGCAGACACCATTAACCATCCTGCACAGCTCCTCAAGACCTCTCTGGCCCCGATCATAGTCTATGTCAAAGTATCCTCACCCAAGGTATTGTGTTTATCCTATTTTAGATTACGTTGTATAATCTCTGTACAAAAGGAGATTACCACATACTTATCACCTACTTAAGTTTGCAGCCATTTGTGGTGACAAATTGTTTTACCTAAGTGTGGCCTAATTTACACTTGACAAGCTATTATTGGGCTATGTTTATTTGCCAAACAAACATCAAAGTCAGGGAGGTGCTTAAACACAGGATTTATCAAGGGTCTTTGTTTCGCTTTTCTGCTAAATGGGATGGATAATTTAGGGGAGAATCCATAACGATATCTACGTGCAGTTTAAATATTCACTACAGCATCTTTAATCCTTTTATGATTCAGGATAAATGATATTTTTCCCCAGGCAGATTGCCCATGCACTAAAGGTTATTGTATAAAAATAGACTCCTGAGGCTACAAATGAATATGCATATGACACACATTCAGTAAAACACACACTCTACAACTCATTAGTTTTGTTGTGCGCTGACTTAAATGTAAGACAATGTTTTGTGTTAAAATTGTCACTTTTATGTTTGTGATGTCAAATGTGATGAGTAATAATGTGTCAGTTTTATATAGTGCTTTTCTGAACACTTTCTAAAACAATAAAACTCATACAAGGTGAACTATGGTGATGGTGAACTACTACAATAGCCACAGCTGCCCTGAGGCAGACTGACAAATGGAGAACTGGGACTTTGGGAGACTATTGGAGAATTTAAAACTTTACAAAATCTTTCTATTGTCTAAAGTTAGAAGTAAGAAATCCTTTATTTTTCTTTAAATTCTGAACGGTCAATACAGAAAAAACCTCATTGGTGTCTTCCCAATTTTCATATCAGTAATTAAAACTTATACATACAAACAATGTAAGAGCTTGCTCCAGCTAATGCAAAAACAACCTTTACGAAGATGTGAAAAGGTCTCTCTATGAGAAAGAAGCTGTGTTGAAATAAATGATGAAAAAGAAATGTTTTCCCAAATAATTTCAATGATTATAGATTCACAAACCTCTGTCCTTTCTACATCATGATTCATGCATGTGTTATGAAATACTGTCACTACTTCTAGACACCTTCATGACACAATAATTAGACCATAGTTGATATGTACTGACAAGGAGGACTTTGTTTTTGTTTCATATGGATCAGCCCAGGAAGTACAGAGAAAGTATCTGTCACGGGGTGAAGTGAGTGAAGGACCCAAAATGCAGGAATGCCAAAATAAAAATAATTGAATGATGAAAAAACAAAAGTCCAAGGGTAATAAAACAAGTTCATAATCCAAAACAGAACCAAAGACACGAACAAACACAATGGACCAGCAACAAGGGGAGAGGAGCACAGGGCACATATAGTAAGCTTTATTTATATACCGCCTTTCACAGACCAGAGTCACAAAGCGGTTTACACTTGTTATTTTTTGGGCACTTGTCCTCTCACTCCACACAGAGATGGGAGCGGGGTCGCCGAACAGGAGGCGCATGCCAGACCTATTGTACATATTTTTTGTGGTAGGGAAAACCGGAGTACCCGGAGGAAACCTACGCAGGCACGGGGAGAATATGCAAACTCCACTCAGATAGACACAGACACAGGGAAACACATCAGGGCGGGGCAAACAATCAAGACGGGAACAAGACAGGAAGTACAACTAGAACCAAACCACACAGAACTTATTTCAAAATCAAACCAAAATACAAAAATAAAATCCACACCATGACAGTGTTTCTATAGAATACTATAATGTGACATTTATCATAGTTACCAGGAAAGGATTTTAAGGATATTAAAGTATAGGCATTTTGGTATGTTGCTGCAACCTATTGTCTCTGTTATGTGGGCCCCAGGTTCTCCAGAGGTTGATCAAATCTCGAGGGAAGTCACAGAGCAAACATCTAAATGTCCAAATGATGGCCGGAGACAAACTCGCCCAGTGTCCACCTGTGAGTTCTCCTGCACAGTGCATTTAACCAGCGCAGTGCATTCTTGGACACTAACTGCAGCCGCTCTTACTCAGGACATGTTTGATGTGATCTTGGATGAAAACCAGCTGGAAGATGCATGTGAACACCTGGCAGAGTACCTGGATGCCTATTGGAGAGCCACTCACCTCCCCTCAGCTGTTCCACCTGTGAACAACAGTGTGGGAGACCAAAGTGTCATCACCCCACCCTCTGCCAACTCCAGCCAACAGGTAAAACCAATATGTGTGTTTCATGTGTACACAAAATTAAATAAATGAATAATTAGAAATTTACACTTTCTGAAACACTGAATGATTTAACCTTTGTATCAATTGTTTCACAATGTAAAAGTCTTGAAGAAAAACGCAATATATCGTTTATCATTTAGTTAAATAAAACATGATGAATTATTTTGACTTGGAATAGGTATCATATACACACCACACTGTGGACCCTGATGGGATATGTATTACCGTTTATATTCAGGTTCATTGTCATATATAACCCTACTTTTCAGTGTTGTTTGGTCAAAATCCTGAAATCATGTTAATAATTTTAACAATAATTACATCAATAAGACTTCAATAAGATATTTATATACATTTTATAATCTAATTTATTGCCCTGTGGATTCTTGGTCTAAAATTGTTTTATTACATGTCAGCTTCTCTCTGAGCAGTATTCTGAGACTCAAGAATTGATAGAATGAGCAACGGTGTAGAACACAAGGTAATACGATTTCTTTATTTTCTGTTTTGAGTGATTTGATGTTTGTGTATGACATGTCCATGCTGTCTGCAGGAGAAGCTAGAACAGTTGGCTGGAGTCAGCAGGAGATCCCTGCACAGGGTCCAACGCGCCACTAGGGGACAGCAGCACGCCTCACACAGGAGGCAGTGCTCTGTAGTGGCAGTATACAGCCAACAGAGGGTGCCGCCATCTCTGTCCCACCAGAAGACTCAGGGCCACTACAGCGGCAGGGATCCAGCACCAACACCTCCATATGGGACGTTCCTCCAGGTCACATTGCTGAGCCAGCCTGTGTGTGTTTGGATACTAAATTAGAATAACATTAGCTGTCTTCCCATTAGCTCAAAATGTACTCAAAATCCCCTTTCTTAAAGTGTCACCAAAGAGTGCTATAAGTCTTCCATCTCCATGTGTCACCAAAAGGTTTCTAAAGGCACAATGCTATCAGACTGTGTTGCTTTTCTGTGGGCACAATTATTATTTTATAATTTTGATAACGCACTTATGTAGCTATTATTTTGTACCTATGGCTTAACACTATAACACACATATCTGCCGCAGTTATGCAAAGCCATGCATGAAAAGCACAAATTGCACATCAACCATTTACTCTTTATGCATCTTGGTCACAACTGTGAATGTAGGAAACAACTTTTGTCTTAGACTGTAATTCAGGCATGATAAACAATATGCCTGTTTACAGACCAAACTAAACATACATCTGTTTTTAAAATAATCACAGTTGATTAATATCAATTGATTAATTTCAGTTGTAGATGCCCAGTTCTTTGTGAATCAGAATGATCTGAGTAAGTAGTATGATGAGTAAAGGAGACATATGTTTTCATTCTACAATCAGATCCGTTTAGTTTTAGAAAAAAAAAGATCACACAAACATACTTATGCAGCTACAAATAATCAACATATACTCAGTGCTAAACCCTGCACTCATCTGTGACCTACATACATTTATATATGCATTCATCTGCTGTACATAGTCTATCCCATAAGCTGACATGATAGTGTATCGATTTAGCCAGAGTGTATATTTGTTTCTCTGCTCATTTATGAGCACAGTGCGGTATTTGTTTTTCACAAAGTTATATCCTCTGCCATTTTTTAACTATCAATAACTATAGTCTTTCTGAAGGACCAGTCTAGAAAATACTAAATCCACACAGTGCTGTTGTCTGAAGGAATTTTAAACTCCTCTTAGCAAAACTGAAATGCAGGAATTTGTACTAAAATGATTTATCCTCTTGATATTGGAAGCACAATTTTGTATAACAACATTATCATTTATTAATAATTGCCTATTTGATTTGCCTAAATCCTGTTTGCAATACTAAGTCTAGCATTACGGTACACTCGCTGAGACTATCAGTCAACGCCTCACTTATGATGAGGTTTGAGTGAATGCACTGATATCATTTCTGCTTTATGATGCAATAAATGCACAAAGTGTGATGTTATTGCTGTAGCCATGTGCGTCTGGTCAAATGAAGATGTTTCCAAAAATCAATATTCCTCACGGTCATAATACTGGACAGACATGTTGTTAAAGCCACACTGGACTAAAGGAGGTGAATAAAGACAATGTTTGAATAATATGTAGTTGTGTGAGGTCTTCATTTTATTTTTATTCATTATTATTATTAGAACAACAGTGACACTACATTTCCTAAAAAGCTTTTCATAAATGTTCCAAAATTAAAGCTTGGGTACCTAACATTTTTCTTTGTAATACATGTTGCTTATCCCAAGAGAAAGAAAGTCTTGTGAAAGTAAAATGTGAATAAATCAAACCACAATAGATAACATGAATGAACGTTTTATTTGGACATTTGAAATGAGAAAAACAAAACAAAAGCAATGTAATTATACATTGATTAAGCAAAATAAATAAACAATATGTTCAAAATAGGAGTGGGAAGAAGTTAAAAAAAATACATGCAAACTTGTATTGTATAAGAGAGCCCTGTGAGTCACTGTTAGACGCTTTGGGCTGAGAGTTGATCTGTTTTACACTTTTCCGTCCATAACCCCTGATTTACAGATGTGAAAGTCCTAAAATCCATGCATGTGAAAACTACTGACCCAAACGGCGTGAGAGAAAACCAATACGAGTTTGTTCAGTAGATCAGGTTGTCTGTGGTTTGAACATTTGGTACCCCATCTTTAATGACAAATATCCCTACAGAAGTGTTTTAACAAATATATAAATGTATTTGCTGGAAGGTTTTTTCAAGCCTTCATCCACATGCATGTGTCCTCTGCCGTGTTTTTTACTGGTGTGGATTGGGACCAGAGAACGGGAGTGATGGGCTGGAGTTATCACTATCGTCTCACCTCATATTAGCCGTCACTTTGCATATTCAGAACCACCTGTTTCCCTGCCACACCTGCTTTATTAGTTATATAACATTTAAATATGAATATGTGCATTTATCACATGTTTATTGACTTTTACAACACTGTGAGAAAACCTGAAACCTTTTTTGTATTTCAACAGTCTGAACAGGCTTCCTATGACTCAACAAGACAGTATGACCTAACACAAAAATACTAATAGCCATCAATGTAAATATTAGTATGTTTGCACAACTAATTTGTAAATGTAATTATACAACAGCTATGGGTTCCTTTCCAAGAAGATGGAGTTATTCTGATGGTTATGTTGTCTGTATTTATCTTGATGTTATGTTGCTGATGGTGGGCTCTGTATATCCCCACTGCTATCCCCACTCAAATAGATTTTTCACTGCGTACACTGTCAACAAAAGATACCAATGTCTCTTCCAAAGGGCTTGGGATCCACTGAATAGGTTCCTTGTATAGAGGACAAGACAACCCTCACCCTTTTCTTCAACCCAATCTTCTTTCAGCCCCAATTTATAGTGGTCATTCTGGCGGAAATTTACATCAAATACTTAATCCATGTGAATATAATGAGATGTGGTTTCATTACAGCGAACAGGAATGTCGCTATCAGTTTTACAGCAGCTCTCATAAACAAACAGAGACACTGGGGCTTTGGTATTGGGGTTATCCTGATGACTTACAAGGCAGGGCTGTAAACATCAGACTGGCCCTGTGTGAGGATGAGGGGGGGCATGAGTGATACGTCCCATTTGATGACACAGGCCAAATTGCTTTGACCCACTGGGCTGAAACTGCTGGGACTCTAATTGACAACAGTAAGTAAATTAGATCGTGGGTTGCCAGACGAGGAGTAATGCAGACTTTTATCTTCCAATACATGGCTCCCTTCCCTGAAAGAGAGAGATGTCATTTCCTCCTCTAATAGCCTGCAGGGTGTGAAGAGGTTTGTCCACTGCAGGTTTGACCAACGGACCCAAACACAGAGAACATTCACAGCATGTTTTCAAAGGTCAACACGAGAAACACAAGCCACTGTGGCCTTTGATCACAGCATTTGAAGAAGCACACTCATGTATTATCTGACACTTTGAGCTGGGATGTGGGAAAGACTGATGAGGATTTTTGTATTGAATTTACACCAGTGATGCACAAATACATTGTTTACCATGTATTCATAAAACTGTTGTGTTACCTTTGGTATAAACGCACAGGCTGATTGCAATAGTTCCTGAATAATTCAGAGCAAAGCCAGTCTTTCCTGATCTGTTGGATTGATTGTGTGTTGGGAGATTAGAGTAAACTAATTTGGCCAAAGTGGATAGTTCTATCAGACTCATTGTTCTGCGGACTTGAGGTATGCCATTGATCCAGACCCCAGACAATCTAATGAGAACCACAATGGCAGCGGACCAGCTAAACTCAAGTCGTGCTCTGACCTAGATCTCTGAAAACACAAAATGATACAGAACGATTTTTCCCATGACAGCCAGCAACCATGTACATTTATATATTGATATGGTAATATGGTATTCATGCAGCCAATATAATCCTAAAAAAATTATTCTACATTATGACATGTTTTTACCACAGCTGTGCCTGAACATACGTTGATAACGAACTTGTAAGTTATTATATAAAGAAGCAATAGTCAAAATGTCAAAATCTATTTACAAAAGTGCCCAGCCCACTTTTGTGCATGACACTTAAATAAATAAACTCCAACTCCAACTCATATATATCTATCTATATATATATATATATATATATATATATATATATATATATATATATATATATATATATATATATATATATATATATATATATATATATATATATATATTGTATTACATTTTGGATTAAATATAAATCATCATGGAAAGTTGGCCTCGACCTTTCCATGAGTCATCTTATTTGAAGTTTCCAGCTGAATATTTCAGGTCCACGCAGCAGTGTTCAGTGGGGACCATAGTGGGGACCATAGTGGGGACCATAGTGGGGACCATAGTGCAGTGTTGTGATGTTATATGGCTGGAGAACGGCGCGCTCCCATTGGCTGCTGCGCTTCTCTATAAAGCGCTGCAGTGGCAAATTCAATCAGATCTGCACCTTCTGCGTGGGCACACACGGCTCTGCCTGGAACACGGACGGATTTTATTGACGCTTTTCCTCTCCACGTTGTATTGCACCTTTTGGACTATACATATTTACAAAGATGAAGGAAAGGAGGAGTACGCAGCCGCTTGTTGTGAGGTGTAAACTGGTGCTGGTTGGAGAGGTCCAATGCGGAAAAACGGCGATGTTGCAAGTCCTCGCCAAAGACTGTTATCCAGAGGTATGTGGTACTTTGGTCGATAAAACAGAAGAGACAACTCTTGCACATGAATTTTCTTAACAACAATGAACATTTTCAAAGAAATGGCATAAATAGGCTGCAATTGAGTGTTGCGTTTGTTGCAGATGAGACTTCTCATGCGCAGTCACTAACAAGTCATCTCCCAAAGCCCTGTTGAAACGCTTTATTATATGCCTTGTTGCATTTGTAAGCACATTCTGAATGATTCAGTGGTAATAATCTGTAAATTGGTATATTATTACCCAAAACCCGTAAAAAAAAAAAACAGAACGCGCTGTTCCTGGGTGTGAGTGCAAAATCACTGCATGTTTTAAAAAATCCCTTAAATGTTCAAACAAATCTAAGTACATGACGTCTTACTGACAGCACCCTGTGTTTATTTCCTCTCAGACGTACGTGCCCACAGTGTTTGAGAACTACACTGCCTGTCTGGAGCTGGAGGAGCAGCGAGTGGAGCTCAGCCTCTGGGACACCTCAGGTAAATGACTACAGGCCCCATCCTTTATGTCTCCATGGACTCACTGCTGTCTGAGCCTGTGCGAGTGCTGCTGTGCACTGTGTTTATTTTATAAGCCCATGCGGATTTATATGAATTATTGTTCTCCTCCAGTCATCCAAATACAGAACATTTTAACCGTATAGGCCCATCTGACTAAATACGTAGTTTGCTGTGATAATCCCCATGTCTGTACTTAAGGTAAATGTCAACAATTGGTTAAGCTTTTGTCTTGAGTTTCAAAAAATAAGTCTTCACTTCACTGTAATGTTTTTCTCAGACAATTGGACACACACTTTTCCATTTTAAAAGCACTCTACAGATGTCTTACTGAGTTGGCTATAGCTGTCTGCAGCCACACTTGCTTCCACTGTATTATTTCCATATATCAAGCCATTTCCTTTTAGATAAGTTATTATTATCAATTTGTATTTGTCTTTAGGAGGGGACAACAAGAATGGGCTCCATTCACATTGTTATTCTGATATCAAAAGTCTATTAAAATGACTGATAATGATAATTGTTTTCCATTTGCCGCTCAAGCGACAGATTCTGGGTACAGTGACTGGAAAGAACAAAGCACAACATGGTGACAAGAAATGAGTGAACACTGCAGTTCCAACATGCATATCGATTTCATTTGGTTGGGGACATTTCACAATATCCTAGCCACCTCTATCACATGTTTTACTTTTTCCAATATTGTGCAGGTCTATATAGTGTATAATCAACTTGATGGATGAAACCCACTTGTTGATAAGCAAGCAGAAATTGTTCAAATCACAAAACCCCTTCCCTTACTAGATTTATTTCCCCTGTCTCCTGCACATATATTACAGAGTGAAAGTAGGTTGGGAGACTGTGATTCCTTCTGCCTGGCTTGTCCCTCCTGTGCATCATATGTTCATTTACACTCTAAGCTTTAAAAACAGGGTCAATGTGTCAGTGCGGATCTCCTGTGGGTTCTTGTGTGTTGACCTGGATATTACAAACACATTTTATCATCACCTGTTAAATTCTCTCCCTGGCTCCTGTCTGCTCTCTCTGGGTCACACTTTCACTCACGCGTTTTGCGCATCAAATCCTTTACATAACAGCTCCAATTGTGTCAGGAGCTGCATGGGTTTACGCGTATTCCTCGGATATTCGCGCCCCCTCATTATCAGCAGGCAGGAAGGAAAGTGTAATTCCCCGGTCAAACTAAATCCTGTGCTTTTTAATCCTTCGCACTGGACCTCATGCCGGTGTGTGCCCTGGCAGCACGACTGGGCCAGGGTCCAGACAGACAGGGGGCTACAGCCTCTCAAGTTTGGTGACCTGCATTCCCCCTTATGTGCCCCCCCCAGGACGGCATGATGCACCGGATTAGAACTCCCAATGAGACCGCCTGGGCGCCCCACTGACCCAACAAGTCTGAGACGGCAGATTTCACTTTTTACTTTAAACCTCTTGGCTTGTGTCATTTGCCGTATTGCACCCTTTGTTTTCATGTTGTTAATAGCAACAGATAGCTTGAGCACATTTGCATAATTGTGCCCCTTTATACAGCGGGGCAATGAACACAGCTGACAACAAACAAATACTGCAGTTTACATTCAGCATTACAATGAATAGCCCTCATAAACTACAGCCAGACTTGAACGAATGCAGACTGCACTGTTTTTGTTGTCAACAACACAACATTCTATTATTGCCATGTTTTTTTTTTTCTTCACTACTAAACACATACTGGTTCATAAGGATAAAAACTTTACACACTTTTTATTTTCTGACCACACATTATTATTCGATGTAAACTCATCATCAACTAACTTTCATTAACACATTTAAAGAGACTGTAATGTAATATTTCCATATCAAATCTTTAAAATAGGATTTTGGGTTAGTCATTAGGGGTTTTCACTCTGACCAAAAACCAGCGGTCTTGTCACCAACATCTGAACTAATGTCTGGCCATGCTTCTACAGCCAGAAGATTGCCATGACTATAAATTTGATTGAAAATCAAACAATTCTGCCTCACCCCTAAACTTACCACTTAAGAGAAAATCCCCTTTTTCAAAAGTTTTAATTATGTATTATATTGATGAATCCCCCTCCTCTCCCACAGTGCTGGTCACAGGTACAGTTTCCGCATTGTGATTCTGTCTACGTAATTGCGTGGCAGTGGTGGTGTGTCCCAGGATCTGAGTGGGGCCCCTCATTATCCCGGCTCCCCTGTATTGATCCTCTGACCTCATCACTAGACAGGCCCTCCCTACTCCCCCAGTCCACCTCGGATTTATACAAACTCAAATCAATGGGCCTGATTTAATCAGTCGTAGTCACATGCAGAAAGCAGCTCATAAATACTGTACAATAAAAGTTGCTATAGCCTTACTGGGTGATATATAAGGGTTTAAATGGTCTCACTGACAGGTCTTTGAGTTAGATATATGTACTTTCATCCCTTCCTGATACAAAGGAGATTGGCCCTCCAGATTGAGGCTTTGCTCAATTTAGGCCCATCCATGCATCCATTTTCTTCCTCTTAATCCATTTCTGGGTCAGGGGGGTGGCAGTCAGAGATGCCATGCAGTTCAGAGCACCAGCCCCTCACTGATCCTCCTGCAGGTGGTGAGTCCACAGGAGGATGGCTGCTCTGTCAGTAGGAGCATAGCCTAAATCATTCAGTGGGGGTTTAGGCAAAGTGGGATTAAGTGTCTTGCCCAAGGACACAACAAGAGCAGACATCAGTGGGAGCCGCTGGAAAAGATCTCATGGTGGGCTCGAACCTACAACCTTCAGGCTCAAAGGCCAATGCACTACAAACTGAGCCATTGTAGCCTCAACTCAGGCAGATCAATAGAATAACTCTTGACATAATTGCTGGACTATAGTCAACAAATACAATAATAGAGGCTCATAAAATCTACTTTAGGCTTCTTTCACTCATCTATAATATCAGAACCTGGATAAAAACATTCTCATAGCTACTCATTCTATGGTAAACCCAGATAAAAAACACAATTCCACAAGGCATCAGATAAAGCTGATTTAAAATAATCTCAGATTAACAAGGATGAGTGATCTAATAAGGCATTATAGTACATAAAAAGAGTAATATGCTCAATACTAAACACCTTATCCTGTAACCAGCTACATGCTTCATAGACCAGTTTAAATGGCGTCCCCTTTTCTCTCTCCGCGGGGAGTCTGCAGTCCTGACTCTAAGCAGCCCTGACATTCCAACGTCATGCTTTACGTGCACCAATAGTTGTGTCTTTGTTGAGCTCCTCGTACATCCAGTTGATATGCTATTGTTTTTACCATTATTGGTCCATTTCTACATAGTGTCTATTTAGTCTTACTCTGATTTTGATTGTAAGAAGCTAGTTATACACATGTGGTCAATACTTTTTTGTATTAAGCAAAAAGTATTAACAAATGGGGTAAAATGACTTCTCCCATAATCTCACAATACGTTTAATATATATAATATACTTTTATCGACTTATTCAACCTCATGAGTGCACAGTCACACACAGAAAAGTGCACTTTTGTTAGTGTCATGTACTCCGGATGTGATAGGCGAGACAGTGAGTGAGGGGGCTTCCACCTTGGAGCAATCTACAATTTATTTTGGCCCAGTTACACTCTGCTGGGGGCACTGAACCATCCAGACTGCTCTTCTGCCCCTGGACTTTGCTGAAACCTTCCTTCGTTCATATGCCTCAGAAAGTCTCCATCTGCTGTTGAGGCCTACTCTTCAGAAGCCCATATTCTGGCCGTCTTAGCTGCGTGTGCATTGATCTTAGCTGTGGAAGGAGTAGGGGGATCTTGTGTGATAGCAGGCTGCAGGGGGTGTAGGATTAATGACACAGGAGAGTCTTTGTGGTCTCCTCAGAGGGCCAACTCTGCTCTGCCGCCTCTCCGCTATTGGCGTTTCCCTGCTGTTTCATCCACTTAATAACTTTGTGAGAGTATCAGGAGACCTCTGCTAAACCTGTTATTACACTGGTGCTCTGATCAACAGCGGCCCTGTCGAAGCCCAGGCTCTAGAGTATGTTAACTGCGGACTGATTTCTAAAAAATGTATTTATAGAGCACCTTTCACAGATAAAAATCACAAAGTGCTGTACAAGGTAATATCATGGCTTTGTTTAATGGTGAAGTATGCAACAGATGCCTGATTGACTTCTTCATACACATGAAAGGGCCATAACCTGTAATGTGAACGAAACCAAACTGCAGAACAAAAAGTCGGCAGGGCAAAACAAGATAAGATAAGATAAGATGTGCTTTATTTATCTCACAGAGGAGAAATTTACATGTCACATTTGGCATGGATAGAACACTCAGATTGTGCAAAAGGAGGAAATGTGCAAACATGTTACATGCAGGATATATGTACAATAAAAGTGACAATAATTATGTACAACAAAAGTGACAAGTGTCAATTGGAAACAGTGTCAATAGTAGTGCAGGTTTTCACACAGTGATAATTTAAAGTGACTTATTGTACAGTCTGACAGCGGTGGGGATAAAGGCCCTGCGGTAGCGCTCCTTCCTACACTGAGGGTGCCTCAGTCTTCCACTGAAGGAGCTCCTCAGCTCCTCTACAGTCCTGTGCAGTGGGTGGGAGGTATTGTTCATGATGGAGGTGGCTTTGGCTAGCACCCTCCTGTCCCTCACCTCCTCCACAGAGTCCAGGGAGCAGCCCAGAGTGGAGCTGGCCCTCCTGACCAGCTTGTTCAGTCTGTTTCTGTCCTGCTCTGTGCTGCCCGGGGCCCAGCACACTGCCGCGTAGTAAATGGCAGAAGCTACCACAGAGTCATAAAAAGTCCTGAGCAGAGGCCTGCTCACTCCGAAGGACCTCAGCCTCCTCAGAAGGAAGAGGCGGCTTTTGCCCTTCTTGTACAGTAATCTCAAATGGTAAATTAAGCTAAAGTGGAAGTTCAGACTGGAAAGTGGTCGTTCTTAAGATCACTGGTCACCCGTATCTCCCACTGCCATCAGCAATCAGTCAATCACACTCGGCTAACAATTCTGCGCTGCCAATCATCTCTCACCTGGCCGCATTTAAACACTGCCCTGCATCGTCTTCGAGTTTTTATATGTGCAGCTGCCCTCCTCCTCCCCTTCACCACTGCCCTTTTCCTTAGCAACCACCCTCAAGGTTTCGGCCCCAGGGATTTCTTCTCATTATTAGATTTCCCCTTCTGCCTTCATCATGCAGTGCTCTGTCGCAGTCTAAGCGCCAAATCTATAACTGCATTTCATGTACAGAATACAATAAACATCATTCTTACAATCACATAGCTTAAGATGGGTATAAGCTGTGTGATTTTCAGACTTGCGATTAAGTTGTGTATGAGGGAAGAAACAGTGTCTGCACTGAGCGACAGATGCACACATTCAGCTGCTCAGACTGTGTAGGTACGAGACGAGGTGTGTGTGCCATGAGCGCACTCTAGTGTGGCATCACTGTCTACTCTGCATGTACACACCAAAAACATTAGCAAACGGATGTTAGCATAGCATGAATGTTGCCTTTATTAAAGAATTTGGCGCTTGTGTGCTCCGTAGTGATTAGTCCCAATGACGTATTACAGTCTTGCCATAGCCTTCAGTCCTGCTCCAGCTCCTGACTGACATGACTTTCGGCACAATCTTAAACTACTTTGGCAACAAAAATTGTGGTAAAATTGCTCAGTGTTTGCCCTTTTGTCTGTTGAATCAGATTAATATATATTCTTTTGTTTCGCATGATTTTGTTTGCAAAATTCAATTAAAATAGATGGGCCATTTTGGCCAAATCCGTAAAAGCAATATAATATTGACATAAGACATCATAACAGGGTGTTATGATAATAGTTCAGTACAAGTTTGCATGAAGGTGCTTTTACTGTTAGTTATGTAATTGTAGTTATATACGCAAATATATAATTCATTCAAAGAAAACCAAAGTCATTACTCACAGTTTAATTAAAACATTGTTTGCTCTCATTCAAATTCCTCTCACCTCTGAAATGGAGTCTGACACGTCTGTTACACGTTTCACTATTTCTGCTTCAAACATGCGTGCGCGCTAATGAATCTGCGTGCCTGAAGGTCAGAGCTATTCCTCTTTCGTCTTGACAAGACCTAAAAACACCCAAACGCGTCTTTGCTCCCTGTTTTCTTCCTGGCAGGATAACTCATCTGGACGTCCTGCACAGTGCTCTTATTGATCCCTGCATTTAGATCAGTGGACTTTGAATGCGCCCTCACACCCAGGGCGAGGCGCGATAACCCTGGAGATGGGAGATTTAGGACTTGGCTTTGCACAGACATTACATGCCACAAGAGAAAAGCTAATTGTTCCTATTTGAATGAATCCCAGCCCCAAGCTTTTGCTGGGTGGTTCAAGGTGGAACTGTTGATAAGAGTTATTTACAAGGAGGGGGTTTAGAGTCTGGTCTGTTTACGATGATTTGTGATGAATTGTTGTGGGGTAAATACAGTTGATATACAAAGGTGTTCAGTTACAAATGAATGCATCTCATTTGCACTTTTGACATGTGTTTTTATAGATCTATCTGTACAATATTATAAAACAGAATAACATAATTAATTATCATGGACTTTATTGAAATATTCATGAGCACATTGGCTTGGCTGGTATGATGGCCAATAAAGAATACTGTATTTTAAAGCTTGCCTATTGACCTGAATGTCACATCGCAGGCCCCATTGTTTGCTATTGCTGCTCTGTTTATTTTTGAAAAACAAACAAAGATGGAATTTGAGAGCAGCTCGTCATTATTCTACTCACAGCCCCCGGCAGCTGGCAAAATTTGGTTTTACCCTTTGATGATGTGCAAAAGCATTAAGTATTCATGAACATGATCCATATGCACACGGCGATGTTGCAGGCTACTGTTTAATTTCCCCTTTCTCTTTTTGACTGTTACATTGTTGTTTTTTCTTCTGTAAATCAATTAACTGCATTGCATTGCGCAATAGCTAATTAGTCACTGAATTTGCTATCAGTTGCTATAAAAGGAATCACATTTGGGATTCGCAAACCTAATCCCATAGAGCTGCTTGTTGTGTGGCAGGAGATAGCAGGATGTGGTTTACCTTCGGCTAAGTCCAAACTTTAAATCTTGTTATAAGTGAGGTTTGTGTTTGGTCAGGGTGCTTATCTGGGTGCAGACCTGAGGGATGTCCCCGGCGGTGTGTGGGTGGGCGGGCATGTGGCTGGTGTGAGCTGATTGATAGGCAGTTAAGTCTTTATAGAGCCAGCGGTGGGTGGAATGCGGGATGTCGTCGTCAGTGGATTCCAAGGCTGTTGCTGTGGAAACAGAGAGTGGAGGTATGGCGCGCCTCTGGATTTTTTTCTTTTTAGGAGAAGGGGGGGATAGCACGCTCACTCAATACTAGGTTTTTACGACCCCACCCTCGACTGGAGATAGTCAAACTACTTCTTGCTTTTTAGTTAAAATATACAACTCAAAAATTGCTGAATAATTAGAAGTTGCCTCTATGGATTTTAAACTAATCACTTCACTACTTTATTGTTTAATTGATCTATCTTCATCAGATTTCAGGAAAAGAACTATGATCAGTCAACTTAAAGATTTTTTTTAATTGATTTTATAAATGTTCTTATCCCCAGCGAATAACATCAATAACCAATAAAATGCCGACACACTGAGGATTTTTAAATTCAGAAATATACTACATTCTTTAAACAAACTTACTAGCAGAGTACTCATTTACTATAGGATATATGGCACATGGACCGTTTAGTTTTACATGAGAGGAATAAGGTTCACTATTGTATTTGACGTCTCTGTGCGTCTAGTTTTCTGCTTCATTGGCTGCTGCTGTAGCTGTATAATGCTTTTTCTTACAAATAATGACAACATAAAAGTTACTCACATGTGTACAAAAGCATGTAAATGATCTTATTGTGCTCTAAATACCGTGTTGTTTTCAATGTGCAAATGTGCCCAAACGTTGCTTATAACAGGAAACTGAAGCTGATACATTTTTATTATTGCTGCTAGACCTGACAGGTTTCATTACATTTCGGATTTTCCCACAGCAGCCAGGAAAGATCAATAAGGATTTTAGTGTCCGACCCTTTAACCAATCAGACGAGCCTGTAAAGGAGCAGTTCCAGCGATAGGAAAGTGGGTCTCAGCGGGAAAAAGCCGATCTGATGTCTCCTAATCCTGGCTTCTGGATTCACTGTGGGCTCTGCCTCTCCACTGTTGGCTCATCAAACACTCCAACCATCTCACATGAAATTAGACTTGGCTTGAAGTATTGAATCATAAAAGTTTTACAGTGCAGCCACTTAATAATATGAATAGACTTGCACACGCTATTACTCCTACCCGTACCAAACGGCAAAAGTCTTATTTTATGTCACTGTATGTCACTACTTTTGAAACAAATCTGTGAAGCATCTGTCTAGTGTTCCAGAATTGGTCCAGTTAAAGTGAACCAGACCAACACGTGTGAATGCACCCTCAAGGTTCAGATAGAACATTCGATTACGTTTGATTAAGTTTGAAGATGATGAGGGATGCACTCCAAATCCACCGGGTATCGTTTCTTTAATAGCGGTTAAACCAGCCATTCCCAAAGTCATTAACACCACGTCCCCTGACGGGTCTGCGCGACCCCCCAAAATAATAACCAAGAAGACAACGTTAAAAATAGGCTCTTCTCGTTATTTAATTTGGGAGAAATAGCCTCTGCTACAAACATGTCAATGACGCACCCCTTTTTGTAATACAAAATGATTACAATTTGATTATTCAAGTCAAATAATGGACACAAATATTTTAAGATTACAAACAAAATATTATTAATTTAACATACAATATTTGTATTAAAAAAAAACCCACTTGGGACACTTGGTTAAACCAATACCCTGAATGAGACCATATACTGTCATACAAAGTGTTGACAAATTACTTGTTAAACACAATTGGACCCTTTTTGTAATACGTTAGCTGTTTATTTGGTATTGGTTCATATCTGCAGTTATTGAAAGTATCTCGACACCATCATTATTTCTTTTCATGAATGAATATCTTATGTAACACAACAATGGCCTGTTGTGTTTTTCAGGTTCTCCGTACTATGACAACGTGAGGCCCCTGTGTTACAGTGACAGTGATGCAGTGCTATTGTGTTTTGACATCAGTCGCCCGGACACTGTGGATGGAAGCCTCAAAAAGGTAATCTCATCAAAGCTATCTCTATCTCTTTCATAATAGTTTCAGGTCTCTGATTTTTTCTGATGTTGACTCTGTATAATGCGTTGCTGTTTCAGTGGAAGAATGAGATCCTGGACTTCTGCCCCAGCACAAGGATCCTTCTGATCGGCTGTAAAACTGACCTGCGCACTGATGTGTGTACTCTGATGGAGCTGTCCAATCAAAAACAGACGCCTCTCACCTACGAGCAGGTGAGGGGAACCAGGATGAATCTTATTTTAGTAGTATTGAGTATGTTTTATTAAAGCTTAATTTGTTCACTGTAAGAGAGGAACAGCATGGTTTGTCAACATAATCATTACCAGTGCCAACATGGCAGCAGAATGCAGAAATGGGCAGCAGATCTTTAAAACATGTGATTATGCCAAATGCATGCTCAACAATGCCAACAATTTGTCTATCTATGGCAAATGAAGGGAAAACTTAAAAAACAGTGATCATTGTTATTGAGCAATGGCAGCTTGTAAGCAGGAATACACGCCTGTATCATAATGAGGAGAGAAAACACAAAATGAATTGTTATTTATTTTGCCATATACATTGGGTAAGGGCTAGGGTTAATGGGGCCTCTTATTCAGGGGCCGGCAACCCAGATTGTGAAACTATGTTGCCTAAATTCAGCTGTTCTGAGCTTTATAAGTAGCTGTGGTGGAGCTTTATTAAAGCAATTAATGGAATTTTGTGACACAATTGTATCATATTGTATACATAAAGTAAACGACCTCTTATTCATGATCTCAAAGACTACTTTGTGTTTGCCACAGAGGGCTACATGACATATGACAGTGGGCTGCAATTGGCCCTCAGGCCTTAGTTTGGACATGTCTGGTATAAAGAATTGTTAAATAATGTTCAGGTCAATTCAATAAGTATTGCCAGAAGCTGGTATTGCATCACTTCAAAAAAATGGGTCACCACCAGAACAGTTGAGGAATGCACCTTTTTAAAGGTATATTAGATAGATTAGATTGTAGTATCAACACCACACAAACATATGTCATGCAACGCTAAAGTGACTTTAATTTCTTATTCGCTCCAGGGAGCTGCTATGGCCAAACAGCTGGGCGCGGAGGCCTACCTGGAATGCTCGGCCTTCACCTCAGAGAAGAGCATTCACAGTGTCTTCCGCACTGCAGCGTTGGCCTGTATCAACAAACTACAGGCCGTTCCAAAACCCAGCCCCACACGACGTCTATCCAAAAGACTGCTGCACCTCCCCAGCAAGTCAGACCTGCTCTCCTCCACCTTCAAAAAGGAGAAGACCAAAAGCTGCTCGGTGATGTGAGTGCCACCTCGGGGCTTCCAAAAGGTCTCTCCCAGCCCCTGCCTCTTTTGGTCTTGGGGAAGGGGGGGTGGGCACGATTTATCAGGGCGCCCTGCTGAATCCTTCCTCTAACCCCCCCGCGAAAACCTAAACAACCACATCAGAAGAGGTGGACACTGCGCTGTCCACTTACTCCTGAATATTGTAATGCACATTTGTCATTTCTCAAACTCTACCTGCTTTTTGAAGAAACTGTTGTAATTCAAGGTTTGGACATTGATCATTTTACACCTGTAACGGAAAGATACTAAACTATTCCCATTACATGTTGAGTATGTCCAAAATTGGAATTGTGCAACATGGAACAATAATATTAAAAGAGGGGACTAAAAAAGATAAATAATTATATATCTAAACCTAGGCAGTACTGAGTGGCAGGACAGCTAAAGGGGACATACAGTCGCTGCTGTTGGCGGTCAAACGAATGGTGAGATGCACTACTGGGAAGTAAACAGTTGCTATTGTAACATGTACAGATGAGGGCTGGTGGTAGCACTGTAGACTGTTCTGCCCGAGTCGAGGTGGACAAATCAGAAGAGACCAAATCAAAAGGGAAGTATACTTGGGCTTCCTTCTATTGCTGTGGCTTGAAACTATACTTGATGAAGGAGAAAATGTCATTAGTTTCAATGCCTTATTGTGGCTTGAAGTAGTCACTGCGTGTGCAAAAACTTGGATCTACCTGCTAATGAAAATTATAGGTTAGAATATCATTTGGATTTGTAGCATTGTTTGAGCTGTTATTAAACAGTATGCAGTTTTGGAAAAATGCCTTTCATAATACAATCCCACAATGTTTGGACTTCTATGTGCCTGTGATATTTGTATATTATAATCTAATGTAGCACTCCCAATGACTTCCAAGACCTCCATGTTGTTTTCCAACAAACAGCTAACTGTAGGGTATGTAAGGAGCAAAACAGGGGCCTGGTCCATGCTTAAATCCTTAGCTTTATGGTTATGCTGGCCATAAAACAGTGATGATTTAAGTGCATGTTATACAAGGGCAACCTGTGGCAATAAAACACAGCTTTGATATTACTGTTACTGCTACAACGCTCCGTGGACCATCTTTGCTGTACAAAAAGGCTGATGATATGCTTATGTTATCCACTAACCAACAAGCAAGCGATCACAATGGACAACTCTCTGTAGATGCTGTTATTGCACGGAATAGACTCAGTTTTCAATATTGCATTGGGAATCCAATATATAAAAAGTAAAACCATTGTGAAAGGGCTTAGAAAGGTATTGGGGGTTTGTAGTTCAAATCAAATGCACAGGCTGGCCCTGTCCAAAGAACGATAATTTTCTCCTTTTTAGAGTTCTTTTTGTTCAGTTATGTTAGAAGCATGTTGTGAGTCTTCATGTTGTTAATGAGTAAGTGTCTATGTGCCCTTTTGTCACAGCCGTGAAATGGTGATGCACAAAAACCTTTAGTTCACGGCCGCACCAAAATTCTGCAGCATTGCCTAGCAACGCTTGAGTGCAGCAAAAGGCAGCGTGGACCGAGACAGGGCTGGATCAGTGGCACACACCCCCAAATCCAGACATCAGCAGAAACCGCTTATAACCAACACAGCTTAGCATCACAGTGACCTTTATCAAGACAGTGAGATCTATTACACCTGCATTTGGGTTTTTAATAATTTATCTAATCTGGGTATACAACATTAATCCCAAATGAATGTCAGTCAAATGTTCTCATAGCTTAAAGAAGAAATATTATGCATTACAAAAGATAGTGGGACTGAAATAATATTTTAAGTAGAAATTTTCAAAAGTAACAAGTAACATCTACATGTAAATCCATATGCTACCACCAGAGTTAATTTGATTTATTCAAATTTTATAATTTCTGCCTGCAAACAATGCTATGTGATTATTAAGAAAGTAATTTCCTCATATTGCCGTGGATGGATCTAAAAGCAACTCCAGGTCTGTTTTTGATGAGGGAACATTTTTACAATCAAAAAGGTCAATTATTCATGATATGTCTCCTTTAAGGACCTACATTTGACTGAAATAGAAAGAGTAAAATCTGTCTGTCAGGTGTAACAGAATAAATGTAAACTGACATTTTCTGAGGCTGTGAAAGCGCAGAACTTCTGTGACGTGGTCCGTACACTGCAGTCCAACCTGAAGCATGTCCTATTGAAGTTATATGTTTGTACATATCTTCTGTCTCCTGTTTTATAATCATTGTAAGGCACACCCCAAGTGTCAGAAAAACTGTTGTTGTAAATGTGAATATTTATTTGGTAGCTCTTTTTTTCTTGTCATGCACATTTTAAATCTATTTTGTAAACTGAGCCTTTTTTGTTAAGAATTTCTTTTGCTGTGTTAATAAAGCTTGCCTGGTTCGGCATATTTGGTTCTCTCTTGTAAAATGATTATTACATCGCTATTTCTGAAAATCAGAACAGCTGTGGCATTACACTGTTGTTAAAATTATCATTAAAGCTGGGCTCCCCAACTTTCAAACCACTGTAAAAAAAGATAATTTTACATTTAATAGGCTATTTAATGCATTTTGTGTATCCCATCATATAAAGAGTTAGGTACCCTAGCTTTAAGTGTGCATTATTAAAGTAAATGCATCTTCTCAAAGCAATGGAAATTTTCTGTAGTTTTTAGATTTAGGAACTACAGTTAGACAAGTTACTTTGGTTTTAAGGCAAACCAACCTTTTTCACCATCTGTTTTCTCAGGAGTAAAATGGCAGCGAGCAACTCCTTTCAGTGTCATTTTTATGGTGAGAGCTATAACTTTAGAAGGGGTACTGCTACTAACAACAGTCATGATTTTTATAACTATTAGTTGGCATTAGCCTGGCCTTAGCCATCTGTAAACATGGGAATCATCCAGTTTTGACTATTCATCAAATGTGTGTAAATTCTGAATTCTCTTGGGAGCTACTTTGAAAAAAACTGACAAAAAGAAAGAGATCACATCTAGCTGAAAGGTTTAGTTAAAAAGTCTTAGTTGCATTGTATTGTACACATAGTCTACTCACTCATAACCAGAGTTCTGTTTTCTGATACAAATCTACATGCTTCGTGCCTGCAGCCAGAATCTGAATCGGCTCATTTAGGCCGAAAAGCATATCCAGTCATGTATCTCTCACTCATTTTCATATGAAGTGTGTCCCTTATCTCTTCCACTTCACGGTGCAAATAATTCCTTTAACAGCCCGGGTCACTCAAGTGCATCGGGAACGACTCCTCATTCAGGACGACTGAAAAAAAAAAACAAATTTGGGTCGTGATGGATCGGGGATTACTGTCATTTCCTATCTCTTCCTCAACGCTGAGCAGAGATGAGAGCAGCTGATGAGGAGAGCGTCGGTATAATCTCCTGAACCACAGAGACCAAACTATGTCACGTGTAATTAAGACACACTTAACAGCAGCACGATCTCGAAACACCGGGTTCAGCTAAAGGGGAGCAAGTTCCCTAATTGAGAGGACTTGTAAAACAAATCAACATTTCAGGGAACAGAAATCAAGGAATGAGCAAATGGGTTTTACGCAGCTTTTAAAATAGATCGTCACTTCACTCAATAAGCGTGACATTTAGGGCTATATTCCAGGAAGTCCCGTTCAATTCCTTGTATTCTTTAGTATTACTGAAATTGCTTTAATTTGTCAGGGACAAACGAGTTGTTGTGGACAGTTGGGGATCCTATACAAAACACCGGTGAACATGCAACCCACCAAATCCTCTGCCGATAGGAGAGCTCCTATAACCACTCAGCCAAACGTTTCTCTATCAAATTTAAACGTTCATTCTCCTACCAAATAATTCTAACTCAGCTCAGAAGAAAAAGATGAGATAACTTTGAATATTGTGGCTGAAGCATTAAATGATAAAAGAGAATATTTCAGCTTTTCTAAGATGCAAAATTCAGACTGTACTGGCAGCTGTTCCATTTTGGCCGGGTGACAGTGGTTCTAAGGATTTGAGAGATGCTTCTGAAGATGCTACATGCTATGTGTTCAAATAGTGTCCATCTGGAGCCACATCTGCAGCTGTGTGACAAAAGCCCAAAGCCCAAGAGAGAGCACAGACATTAACCTCCTCTGGCTCTAAGACGGTCCGATGACAAGTTCCAACTGTAAAGATTAAATTCTGTGAGAAAAGTGAGATATTCCTTGCTGATCTGTCCAGTACTATAAAATCTTTTGTCACATTTACTGTTCTAAGTTAAAATGGACTTGAAAATATTGGGACCAATAAAAATCGAAAAAAAAATCAGAAACATAAAGGGCTACCCTACCTGCATTTTTTTTTAACTTCAGATATGAGAATAGATCATATAATGTACAATGTTTGTAATTTTCACATTCTACTGTAGAGTGAAAAGGGGGGCGGGCATTTTTCTTGTTATACCAGCAAGATAACCTATAATATTCTTATATATTTACATGTCCCATTTAACTGTTGCGTTCAACCACCATCCACAGACAGACCAATGACCCACACCACCCGGGTAAAAGATGATGGGGGTCAGGGTAGGCCTGGGGCAGCAGGTTTTACCCAGGTTAATCTGTGGTTGTAGGTCTTAGCTGAGCCTCACTACAGTCCAGGAGGTGATCAGGGTCCAACTCGGAATTTTGAAGCTTTTTACACAAACTGCTCTTTGTCTCCTGCACAAACAGTGGACCAGTCTGACCCAGGATTATTATGTTGCTATGGGCAGAAGCCAAACAGGAAGGCCATTTAAACCACACAAAGCCAGTTTAGCTTGAACTCATAGCAGATTAACAGCTCTCACATGCATTTTGACTAATTACAAAGTGTGTTTAGAGCCATTTAGATAATTATTTCATAGCAGCTGACTTGTAGTGAAATTATTAACAATTCAAACGTGGATCAGGCAAGACTTTTAATACTTAAAGAATAAATATTATGCATTAATCTATCAAAATTGTAATGAGACTAATAATTGCTTTGTCATT